TCAAGGTATGCGAACTTCTCGACCAGGCGTCGGCCCTCCTCGTCATTGGGGTTCGCAATCGCATTGAAGAGCAGGGTGTGCTGCTCCACAGGAAGTGGCACCGTTTCGTCTCGGGACTTGAGCTGAACCAGATTGGAGCGATCAGTGCCCTGACGTCCGTTGCCTGCATTGCCATTGTTATTGGCGTCGGAACCAGTCCACTGGAAATGAAGCAGCGTGCCCTGCTCCACAGAGAGCTCAGAGGGAATGAAGTCGTACTCCACCGAGGGATACACCTGCACAATGTTGCCACGTCGACCACGCACGTTGTAGTTAACAATCCGCTTGCCATCCGGAACGTCGGCTGGGCGCTCCAGCACCATAAAGGAGTGGGTGCGGTCCTCGAAGGTGCGGCCGTACTGATTTGTGTTCACCTGCAGCTGCAGAAGGCGCGACTTCTCGGAGCCATCTTCCAGGTTCAGCCAATCCGCTACTGGGTTTTGGGCCAGAGGAATCGGAACGCTGGGGCGTCCCTTGAATATACTTCGACGTCGGGTGTTCGGTTGGGGATCGTTGAAACGCTGGTCCATGAAGAAGGCGTCGGCCAAGCCACCTGTGAGCTCCGTGCCCTCGACCTTTGGATGTGCCAAAGAGCCATAGTTGAAGTCTCCTGTCGAGATGTTGTACCGGATGCGCAGAACCGTGCGGCCTTTGACATGCTTCGGGATCTTCCAGAGGTAATAGTGCGGCTGCCCATTTCTCACGTTGCCATTGTGGTTGTCACGGCTCTGGATGCCGCCAATGCATTCTGGTGGTGGTTCCTGCCAAGGATCTTGCTCTGTCCACTGCCCATCGTTGCCAACGCAGGCGTCTGCGTTGTTGTGCGCCGCGACAGAGCAGGAACCCTTGGCCTTGACATTTTGCGACTCCGAGCGATAATACTCGCATCTGGCCTGTGGCTCATCAGTTAACACGGCAATATCGTGCCAAGGCGTGGGATGCCAATACGGATAATAGTCCCGCTCCTCAGGGCATTCCAGGCCGTGGCGCTGTTGCCCACGACGACGGCCGTTGCCGTTCGGATTCTGCCGCGTAGAGGTCGCTCCACCGTTTTCCTCCATCTGCCTGTCGGCAGTGTAGAGGCCCTTGTTGCGCTCGCGCGCAATGCAAGCCTGGTAGAAGTCCAAGGGTTCATGGTATCCTCTCGCTGGCTCTGCGGTGCCCTCCTCGGTGGGATCGTTGTCATCGCCACCGGCAGTGTCTTGGCCTGTGCCATCGCGAAGATTGCGATTCTCTTCTTCAGTCATATACTGCAGGACTATCTGGCACTTCAGGTTCGGGTGGCCAACGCCACATCCGTGCTGGTGATGCCATTCGATATACAGCTCGGAGCCTTGGTAGAACTTCATGGTCCCCTTTGTAGCACCCTCCTTAGTCACATCGTAGTTGTTGTTCCCGTCCTTGCAGGCGGGCTTGCAGTCATCTCCGATTTGATACCCAGAAGCGGCATTGTTCTGAGAGTCGAAGAGACGATTGGCGTTCTGCACGTTGTTGCTCTGCTCGCGCAGCTTGTTGTTGGAGCCGCGAGGGTTGTTCAGGTACATGTCGGCCTGGACCGAGCATATCCCCAGCAGCATCCAGGCTGCAATGGTCGCCATGGTGGGAGCCATTGGAGATCCAAGGAGGAAAATCGAACACCCCAATCGCCGAAGCATTAGATTCCAGGTCCTGTATAACCAATAGAATCTAGGTCCTAAGCTGTAAAGTATTTCCAGGTCAGAAAGGATTACATTCTAAATGGGGTCTTCTTGGTCATTCATCACAATCCATTCACCTTGTTCACTAAGTTGCTGAAGAAAGTCTCCAGAGACATTGAATGTCTACTTGTGGAGGACGTGGTGTTGCCTCAATGACCCTTCCTGTCTCTCTTGCTCTCGCCCTCCCTCTCTCCCTTGCGTGCATTGAAAGCGCAGATTGGGGGGCGGGCCTCCAAAGCGACGGCGAGGGCTCGCTCGAGACGTAGCGTCCCGTCCAGCGCCTCAGTGCGAACTGCGCTGTCGCCACTCTTGTTGCCACTGTGCTGTTGCTGGTTCTATCTGTTCCTGGCTTCTGGCCTTCCAGACATCTCCATCTCTTCTTTGGTAGGCCATTCGTAGGTGGTCTGCCTGCGCAAACAGCAAAGACATGGGCATCCGAGCTCAAGTGCGCAATGACAGCTGGCCTCGTTCACGAACACGACCATGCCACTACCGTTGGTGAAAACACCTCGTGCCTGAATCGCCAATGCTTTTTGGATGAACTCGCACTTCGTCAACGTAAGATGGCACGAAGAACGAACCGCAGCAAGGCATGCTTCGTATTTCTTCAACGGCGAATTGATGCTAAGGTACAGCTAGTTCTGTGCTGTGGGCATGAACAGAAGACAACGAAATTGTTTGTGAATGCAAGTCGTTCCCACGCCCCAGCGCAGTCCCTCGCCGGTCTGGAAATTCCGAGTCTGTCACATCGGCCCTCCGTGTGGAAAATTCGAAGGGGTCGTCTCGAGTTGTGCGAGCTTGCTAGACTTGTGTAGTGGAGGAACATAAGAGAAGCAGCAAACGTGGAACTTTCCGTTCTGCACGAACTGCTTTGGTTTGAAGTGCACACTGGCTTCGACAGGGAATTGGAAGCGCTCTGGCGGTCTTTCTTTCTGGGTCTTGTTTGCCGTGTTTGGCTTTCTGCTTCAAATGCGACACAGCGAGCCTCGCAGCCTCTGGCTGTCAAGGTGAAACAAGCGGGCCTGGGAGAACATGCCATACCCTTGGTACACTATACATTAGTTTCGGTCCTCACTGGAGTCCTCCGTCAGTAAGAGAGGTGGCGCTCTCACGAAGCTTGAAGCGGTCAAAGAAAAACCTACGACCCCGTCACCTCTGCCTTAGCCAAGCAGACCCGGGCCCCATATCTTAAACCCGAGCCGGCGCTGGGAGTTATTAAAGTTGCCCTTCTTCAAGCGATGGCGCCTGATCCCGTTGCTGGAAAAACCAGGCACGTCATTTGGCGATGGTGGCAGACCCCTCATTAGGCGATGGAGGTGCGCCGAGGCATACTTTCACCCTCAAGGCTCTGTTGCACTGAAGTTTGTGACTTTGCCTTCATCACCGGTAAAATGTCCAGCCTGTAAGAGCGAGCTTTCGAGAATTGAGTCTTTCGCAAGCTAAGCGTGTAGAGTGGCAATCCCGAGCGCTTGAAGAGCTGGAGACAGACCGATGCAGACCAACGGATCATGAGAGTCACTCTCAAGCACGCGGAATGAGTAAACCCGAAGAATTTGATTTTGCAATTTGCCAAGTCGACGGTTTGCACGTCTGCGCTGCCTGTCGCTTTGCCAGAAGATATCAGATACATCTACACGATTGCCATAGCTTCGATTTCTGTGCCAGCACGCAAGCCTTTTTCATGCTCAAACACAAGCGATGCACCTCCTGACTTGTTTTCGATGCTACCTCCCGGCTGCTTGCTGACATTTCCGTTCTTGACAATCAGCATGACTCTTTGGTGCTGCCGTCACGGAAAAGACTGCGACAAACCGGACGACAGCTTTTCCAGAAAGCAATCAAAGCACACTTGATCATTCGCCTCCCAGCTTGGAACCACATTTCCTGCTACAAGCTGCCTGTCAAGCGCGAAGCATGCCCCTCTATGGGAACCTTTCATCTCACAGACGGATGGAGGACGGGAGGAAGTGGGAGGGCTGGGTCTGCGTGGCTCCAAGAGAAATCCCACAGTTTTCAGGGTGTTCGTAGGAACACTCTGCTAAGTCCACCTTGGGGGACGGATGTAGATGTCTCACTCAGGAAACGCCCGATTAGGAAGATCGCAGGAGTGAAGCGGTCGAAACAGAACAGAACAGAGCAGAAAAGCGATCACGCAGCATGGACACGGCTGCTCTGGCCTCTGGCCAATGTCTACCGAGGCCGCTGGACAGGAGCAATCCCGATTGCGGCTCTTCCAGCAGATCGCCGGCAGCCTCCACAAACATCAAGACAAAAACCGGACCTCCGACGGTTCGGATGGCGATCAGCTGCACGATCCAAGACTCAACATGCTGCTGCAGCAGCTCCAGCTAGCTAGCCCGAATCCTGTGACTCTCAATTTACCCAACCTTTATATTTAGCCCCCCCTTGAATTGATATTCTCAATAACACGCTGGATTCTCGCCTTGGCCTGCCTCACTGCCAAAACAGGCTGAACTCATTCGCGAGCAATACACGAATGAATGGATGATTCTTTTTGTTATCATATATAGACATACATACATACATATATATATATGTATATATACACACATATTGATGTATGTATGTATGTATGTATGTATGTATGCATGCTTGCATGCATGCATGCATGTATCTATGATTATGTATGTACGATTATGTATGTATGTATGTATGTATGTATGGATGGAGGGCGGGCGCCTGGGGGAACGACCTGATGCCGAATCCGAATTCCTGAAGCCGCATTGCTTTAGGTGACGCCGAATTGTGACACCACATTGTCTCACGCCGAATTGGGTCGTGACGCCGAATTGTCTCCTGACGCCGCGTCGGGTGGTGACACCGAATGCTGACGCCATTAGGAGGTGACGCCGGATTGGCGACACCCCACATAAAAATATTTAAAGCAATTGGTGAAGCCACATTAACCGAGGCCCCTGGAGGTGATCCTGACGTGCACACGCAGGTGCGGCACTGTCCTGACAATGCACAGAAACACCGCAGGCAAGGGCCGCTGATCTGAATATCAGAACTCTTGAAACCTTGAACTCCGAGGGTGGAGCATTGGACTGATGGGGTGCTCTTACAAAATTTGAACTCCGAGGATGGGGCCTTGGACTGATGGATTGATGGGCGCCCGTGATCTTGAAATCAGAACTCTTGCGAACCTTACAAACCTTGAACTCCGAGGATGGAGCCTTGACTGATGAGGTCAGAACTCTTGCGAACCTCGAACTCCGAGGGTGGGGGGGTGGGTTGTTTTGGTCCTGTTGGCCAAACAACCAATGGACTGTTGGGCGCACACTATCTCACAATCGAACTCTTACACACCTGGATCCCAGGATGGAGCCTTGGACTGACGTTGAGCCCGTGATTTTAACATCCGATCTCTTGCGTGACCCACGCTCAATCAAATGTTGTCATGCGAGTCATGCATGTGAACCTGTCCTCGTATTCTGTTCGTGGCCGTTATGTCGTGCAAGCGGTTTCGCAATGCGTCTGCGCCTACCTGGGCCGTAGCCTCGCAATGTGTCTTCTGAAGCCGTCTTCGCTACCCCAATGCGTCTTCGCGATGCGTCTTCGCCTATCCAACGTGTCTTCGCAATGCATCTGTGCCTATCCAATGTGTCCTCGCAAAGCGTCACCCAATGCGTCTTCAACATGCGTCTGCGCCTCCCAATGCCTCTGAGCCTTCCAATGCGTCTTCACCCTTGCTAGCAGGCATCTGCGCCTATTAGCCCTTGTTTTGACGAATGCGTCTTCACAGTGCGGATGCGTCTTCAGGTCGTTTGCCACACGGCACCAGGACCCACAATTTATGTACGCATGCATGTATGTATGTATGTTTTTAACCGCCACGGTCAGGAAGGACTGCTGCCATCTCTGCCTTGAGCTTCTGCTCGGAGGAAGGCGACATCCCCTTCGGCTTCGATGGATACGTCTCAGAGCCACGCCTAGCCGCAAAGGAAGGCCACCCTTTGACTCCCTTTCGCATCTATCGGTGCTGAGTTGCAGAGGGAAGTATTCCCCGCCATTCAGCAACTCATCCTTCGACAGTGAACGTGCACTCGGGCTGCCAGAGCGCTCACTCGCACATCCGGTCCTCGACGGACAGCAACGCCTCCAACGCGACTCGCTCGGCCTCTTTCCTTTCCTTGCCCACACGACGGATCTCGCTTCGACTCCGACGGCCTTCCTGTCTCCGGCCTCTCGCTGAGCTGAGGGTGGCATCTGAATGCCACGAATGTTGCGGCTGCATGTCACCTGTCGAAGGCTTAGGTCGAGCCATGTCAGACCAATGCGAACTCCAGCCTGCACAGACAGCAGACTGGCGGAGAGAGTTCTCAACGATTCGCCTGCCTGTCAGAAAGGAACTGCAGAATTAGCCTGAGCATGCCTGAGCCAGCATTTGCAGCTTTCAGCTTGCCTGTCGAGTATCGACGGCGCTCGGCAGCTGCACGTCTTGCAAGATGCTCTCGTACCACCTGTCCATGACCTTCAGTCATGATTTCCAAAGTGGATGCTTGGCTCAGATTGAACGCAGCGTGTGAGGCGATCACCGACCGGAAAAGCGGCTCGAATACCTCGAAGCAGGTCTCGTCCTCAGGAGTCCAGCTGGGTGTGAGGTAGACTGCACGGCTGGGCCACGTTAAGACTTTGGTCCGCACTGCAGCGATGAGCCCGAGAGTGCGCAGAATGGGGTGCCCTCCGCAATTCCACAACACCACGAATCGAGGGCAGCGTCTGCCCAGCCTCTGTTGTCTATCCCAGGCTTGATGCACTGCGCCAAAGAAACACCATTTGGCGTGCGCACATCCTCGAAATAGTACATGCCAGCAATGGACGAGGAATTCTGGCAGCTCTGTGAGAGGGCGCCTTGAGATGTTCATAAAGCATGGGCTGCTCTTTGAGCACATGCGCGAGCGTGCTGTGGTGACGAGACCTAGGTGGCAACGGGTTGGCGTCACTTTCTCCGCTGAAGGTGCAGGAACTCTCACCACAGGTGCGCGGCAGATCTGGAAGCGGCTGTGAACCATCTGCTGGGAAGCCGGGGTACTGGCAGGATCCGCAACCCGATAAGAACACCGAGAATCGGCGAGCGGCTTAGGCTTGCTCACTCTTCCTCAACGGCCCACCTCGGAATCCCCACGGCCAGGCATTGCTGACCAGTTTGGCAAATCCTTTGCAGCATCCGGGGGTCCCTTCCGAAAGTCTTCAGTCAACTCAGACCTCCAAGACTCTAAGATGTTGGCGTCCTCATCTGGACCCCTCGCCTCGACTTCGCCCCGCCAAGTTTTGTGACATTTCATCAAGACCCAGCTGCCAGCAGAGCTGCCGGTTGGAAAGGCGAAGGAATCGGCGTTGGCCTGTTCACCTGGCTTGCCTGGACGTGTAAGGTGCAAGGACAGAAAGCCACTGGCGGATTCGGCGCCTGAATGTAGCCCAGCATGAAGGAGTACGGATCAGAGGGTCGGTTAGACAGCAGCTCATGGACCATCCCCTGCCTCGAGATGGCAGTGGTGAAAGATGACGTACGAATTCGTCAGCCAAGGTTCAGGCAACACTCGCTGAACGGAGTGGGCCTTGATTGTCTCAGGAGAAGTGAATGAAACACGACTTGGGAATGTTCAAAAAGTCTACATCCACAAGCCACGAGCCTCCAAATACTGCTGAGCATCTATGGCTGCCTGCTGAGCAACAGCAAAAGATTGCTGAAAGAAGAGGGCACCAGCAGAACCTGGTGTCGGGAGACTCGCTTCTTCGGCTCCGGCATCTGGGAGCGCACCTGCATGGACTCGCTTTACGCGGGGCACGGATCCTCGTCTTGGAGGCTTCGCTTTTCTCTTCGCTAGTAACACGACTAGCCGTGACTAGCCTTTTGGCCGGCCTTGGCTTGCATGTCGAGGACGATCTTCCCATCCCTGCCATGCCGTCAAAGCGAAAGCATCCTTACCCCAGACTCCTCGGCTCGGGCTCTCGCCTGGCCTTCCTTGCAACTGCACAAATCCACCGTCGCAGTTGGACAGCTCGGAGATGCTCACCTTTGCAGACTCCAAGCGCTGCTTTAGGTCAGGCGCCATACGGGTCATACGCGAAAAGCTGCAACAGTGCCTGCGCCGTGCCAACTTTTTCGAAGACATCAACCACCTGTCGCCAGTCGTAGCCGTTTTGTCATGATAAGGACACCAACATGTGCGTACATAAATTGGGCTGCCACCAGGTGCCGCGGCACTTGCTTACCGTCGAACGAGAAGCATTCGCCTGCCAACAAAGCTTTGGTGTTGCATCGTTCCTGGATTGACACGGACCACGCACCTGGCTTGTACTGGGTCTGCTTTCGCCTCGGACCAAAAGACTTACAGACCCACACAAAAAGCAACATTATTCCTTCACAGTTCTTTGCATATTGACCTGCGTGCAACAGTCTGAACAAAGCATCTGAAGCCGGACGAAGCTTCGAAGAGACTTCCGTCTGCTAGTGTTCGTGGACACGAATCTGCACGTTTCAACAAGCTCTGATGTTTCTCATATGCTCATATGTGTATACACCGGATCAGACATCTGCACAGTTCTACAGCCAGACTGCTGAAAAGATGAGTCTGGTCGGAGCATGCGCCAGATTGCAGTGGAACCGCAGTCGGAGGTGAATTCCTGCAGGTACTCAGTTGGCATGACCTTGCATGTTCAGGCCTTCGGCGCACGATCGTACCAAACAAATGTGTTCACGGCACTCCGAAAGCCACAAGCTTGAAATGAAGTCGGCACGTTGCTGCTACCCTACTGTAGCTGATTTTCCGGGCACCTGGCACATCACCAGCTCGCAAGCTGAGGTAGGCTTTCTCTGGTAAGCCCTGAGAGACATGGCAAATCTTTCACGCAAGTTCAGTTCTGTGAACAGCCTGTGCACCAGCAACGGTCACATCCATGACCTTGACAATTGCACGGCCAGACATTCAACTTCCGAACTCGGTCTGACCCGAAGAGTCGCACCGGCACTTCAAGGACCCTAGCCGGTTCCACTCCGAGCCAGAAATCAAAGCACAGGCATGAACACAGAAGCAATGAGAAGTTTCACTCTTGCTCAGGCTCACCCTCCGCGTCAGCTACTGCTGCGGTACATGAAATCCCAAGCCTGCCAAGAGTCACCACACCAAGGACATCAAGAGCTAGGAGCCTGCAGCCAGATTCTGCAAGAGCTGATGTCGCATTATGTCTAGCATGTTGCTCAGGGTAGTCTACGCGCACTGACAGGAACAGGTGCAGAGTGTGTCTTAGCCACCGGCAGCAGCTGCACCGAAGGAGTTCCTGCCGATATTTACCACACGCGCCTTGCTTTGCACGACCCAGTGCACCTGTCTCCGTCCATGGTCTCGGTCTGAGTCTGCACATGGCGAGAGGAGAAGAATCGCATGGCCGTTAGGTGCACTGCCTCGAGCTCAGGCTCCAGGCGGAAGGCTCCCTCCATTCAGACTCCGCGATGTCATTCACCAACCTTCTGATGCTTCGCATTGCTTCGCTTTCTCGCGGGCGAGAAGACTCAAACTTGCCGGCTTGACTCGGTTGAGTTGGCAGCAGCTTCATCTGCCGCAGAATGATGTCGCCAGGTGCGCTGAGCAAGGGCGTTCAGTGTGGCGAATGCTGAGCTGTCCCTTTCGAGAAACCGATTTGCCTCTATGATGACGCAGCCCAAAGCCAGCTGCAGGGAACGTAGCATGGCGGAACCTACGAACACTCCTAACAGTTGCGCATCGAGCGACATCCAGGCCCCCAGGCTTGGCATAATGCGTGCGCAAGCACATTTTGCAAAACACAATGCAACCAGTCGTCTGCACTGAAACCGCCTGATACCTGAACCGAAAGCTTTTCGGGACATGCTCAAGGTCTACACTTCAGATGCGTGTCGGCGCGCTTTGCTTGTCGGCAGCCTGACTGGCCCTTCCTTGCAAACTTCTTACCCCGGAGAGCTTGCAGATCCACCTACCTGGTCTTCATTTGATGTAGATAAGTACATATCTTCAGCATCTTCGAACTCAGCATAGCTGTCATCGAAGTCTTCGTCGACCCCGCCGTACTCGCCGTAGTAGGAGTCGTCGAAGTTCTCGCCTTCGTCTTCCGGTTGCAGCGGCTCCTTCATCTCCTCGAGGTCGTCCTTCAGCAGCTTTGCGTCTTTCAGGAAGGTCGCGAAGGAAGGTGGCCGTTTCAGGAACTCCTGAAGTGCTGTGCCAGGGGCCTTTCCACCACCCGGTTCCAGCAGGAGTCGTCGAAAGCGCTCTCCCGAACTTCCCAAAGGCTCGGACGCCGGCGCGCCATCGAAGACTGAAAAGACGTCAGCAGCAAGGGCTTCTGCCCAAAGCTCGCCATAGAAGGCGCCGGCCAACTCAGTGTTCAAGGGCCAGCTGCACAGCTCCCGATCTTGCACTCTCGGGCGGATGACGGCGTACTCACCTTCGATGAGCTTGGCAAGATCGAAAACGTTGATGTCCCCATAGGGATCATAGTCCGAATGAAGCTCCAAATCGATGTGGGCCCGAGCAGCTTTCCGAAGAGTACGGACTCCGGCTAAGAAGGTCCTTGAGTCAGACAAAGCATCAACGGCTGCTTGTGGCAGGGGGTCTCCACTCTTGTAGTGTCGGCCCATCTCAGAAAGCACCCGTCGGTCGTAAGCCCATCTTTCAAGGAAGTAGGCAGGCAGTTCGACAATGTCCGTCTCAAGCCCCTTGGAGCCGGAAAGAAGAGCCTCTGACTGCTTGCAGAAAAGATCGCGCAGGCTGGATCCGAACACACGAAAGAGCTTTACGACCTCGCGGTGAGTCAGCAAGCTGGGGGTGTCGCCTACGGGTGGCTCCAAATCACAGATGACGTTCACGGCGGGTCTGCGTGGAGTCGACCGGTGGCCCAAAATCTCCGAATAGCCTTGTATTGATGAAGACCAGAAACCCCTCCTCTTCTGGCCCCACCGTCTGTGAGCATCGAGGAAGAAGGATGCTACCAAGTCTTCAGTGTCGCTGTCTCTGATGCGAAAGAAGCGCACATGCTCCGCCCACGTCAAATCGCTGCTCTCCTCAATCACCTGTTGCACAGAGATGTGATGAGCGACACTCGTTGCATTCTACTCAGCCCCATCCGAAGCATCCACAGCATGTTGTGCATCTATATGGCGCAATGTCACTGTCGTATCCACGCTAAGCCACAGCAATCGATTCTACGAGCTTCGTTTCATGAGTTCCCAATTCAACCACGGACGGACGTATCGCGAAAGTAAAGCTGCCATTTTTTGAATGACCGTCGGGTAGTCTCCCAAGATTTGCCCACTGCTGTGCGCGTCTGCTGGGTGTTTTTCGAAACTCTGCTCAGGAGGAGCCGATTGCGACAGTCTCGGGACGACATAGGTTGAGAATCTAAGCTTATTCGCTGGTGCTATGGTGGGTCGCCGAGGGCTCTGGCTCCTGTTGACCCAGGAGCTCGAAGCTTAGTGTTTCAATTTATGATTTTCTTCTTGCGAAAAATCGAAAGCAAAAACAATGCACGATTGAACCAATTCGACTCCTGTGCAAAAACATGTGTGCACCGAGTGGGTGAATGAGTAATCGAGCGCGTGCGTTGCTGTTCCCATACCAGTCTAGCGTGCACCGCGGGGTGAACGCTGATCATGCGGGATGCTTGAGGACGCGTAAATCCACGACTGGATGCTGTATCTGCCTTGCCAGCTCAACTGTGAAGACCGGTTGTAAAAGCCAAGCCACGATCGCTCTGTCGAGCGGTGAAGCGGAATACTATGGGTTCGTATCTGGTACTTGCAACTTGGAGAATGAAAGACTGAGGAATCCTTCTTCCCGTTCAGGCGTACATGGATGCGAGTACAGGCCTGTCCATAGGCTCATGCCATGGATTGGGACGCGTCAAGCACATAAATGCAGTGTTCTTATGGGTGCATGACATTGTCGAGCAGGCAAAGGTCGTGCTAGGCAAGAAAGGGACCGACGGGATGCTAGTCGACTTGCTTACCAAGCCGCTGGACCGGGCACAGTCTGTGGGCAATTGGCCATGGAGAAATATCGCAGCAATCGAGGGGATATGGATCTATTGGGGGAATTGTTACAAAGCAGTTTATTCAGCCTAATGGCGACCCAGTTAAAACAATGGCGTTTGGCTTGGGATCAAGCTGCTGCAAGCCAAGTAGCTACTGCATGGTCTCAACTGCTATGCAGAGGGTAAGCACCAATTGGCTCTGAATGCCTGAGTAGTGGAAACCCGAGCTAGGTTGCGGTAGGTAGGTTACTGTGGACCTTGCATCTCGGCCACCTGGAGCCGGGTTTTCCTGTTCCAGCCGGCTTCGGGAGGAGTGTTGGTGCATAGGGGTCTTGCTTGGTAGCTTGCTGTGTTGTTTCACTGTAGCGCTTTTGTTCAAGGGTAGCACGAGCACTAGGAGTGCAAAGAGGCCAAAATCTCCGCTGCTCTGCCGCTGGTGCGCCAGCATGCCTGTAAGTTTTTTCGTTGTTTGCCGCTGGACCGCCCCGCATGCGCTCCGCACGCGCTTCGCCCCTACTCCGCGAACGCTCGTCTCCGGTATAGCCCGGCCCGCCCCGAAGCGCACGCGCCCCGCACGCGCTCCGCACGCGCTGTGCGAACGCTCCTCGCGGTAAGAACTTGAACGAGAACCCATTATCCGAGATGTTTTTGGGGAAAAAAAACAGGAAAAAAAACGCTTGCCGCTGGTCCCGAACTCCACATGTGGGTTGGTCCATCTCGGCCAAATCGTGCGACGGTGCCCCTGAGCCTACCACCCGCAGTGGCCCCACACACAGCTTTGTGACTCCCTGCGATGTACTGTGTTTTTCTGTTCGCCGCCCGCTCTGGCCTTGACATGGAAAAGCTCTTCTAGGAGCCAGAACAAGCCCCTGAGCACTGCAGGCAAAGGGAAGAACTCCCGGACATATTCGTCTCGCAGCCCGTAGCGCTGCTCCAAGAATCTTTGCCCCCAATACTCCACATCAAAATGGTCTAGCTCGTAGTCGGCACCTTGCGAACGAGCGAAAAGTTGCAGCTCGTCTAGCTCCTTCCGTGCTTTGGGAAGGGCCTCCTTGCGAAGCTTCGCTAACAAGCCGTAGGCTTGATTCGGGCTCGCCATCGTCCTGGTGAAGACGAGGTCGGCATGTGTCCGGTAGCCCACGACTTTCGCCAACCTCTGCCGGGCCTGCAGCAGAAGCTCCAACATGGGAGTGTTGTCGTTCTTGCCAGTGCCTCCGAGGTAGGCAACCCTCAACCGGTTCTCGTGAATTAGCTCCCGCAGCGCACGACTTTTAGCAGCGCGCATGACCGGCTCTGCCACGGCATCGTGCAGTGACAGGAGCCAAGGGCCCCGATCTCGATTTGCCTTAGGATATCCCACCTGCCTTGCAGACTGCACGGCATCTTCCAAGATCCACGGGGGTATACCATCAAGATCCTGCCGATCTCTGATCAAATACGCCCGCGTTTCCATATCTCGCTCAATATTTTGATCCCAGATGAGCGAAATATTGAAAACAGCACCTCGGACCTTTTGGAGCTCCAGAAATGCATCCGGATCATCTCTGTAGATCCCATTATGCTGTAGATTCACACCATCTTGCTCAAAGAGAATCATCAGGAAAGCGGCTGCCCTCCTCTGGGCTTCGGTTGCATTGTCGTCACTCGACAACAGCTCCAGAAAAGCGCGAGAGAATCGATCACAGCGGCGCAGACGGCGCTCAATCGTCCAACGAGCTTGCGCAGCATATCTGTATGCTTTCTTGAATTTCACCGATGAGTCGAGGACGTCCCTTACATGCTTCACTGCCGAAAATGCTCGATCCACTTTGTCTAGAACTCTCTCTAGAGGGTCGAGCACATACCTCCAATCGTCTGACACATAAGGCACCACGCAATGATGTTGCCAAATGTCATT